AAAATGGAGGGAGAGTTTGTGTAAGCCCTTGATTCTAGCCATCCTCCAATATACTGTAGCAGGAAAAGACTGGAAAGAATTATTAAATAGTAAACCTTCATCAAAATTGATGGAAAATATAACAAAACTTCAGTTGATATGAGAGTATGTGAGTCATGAGAAAGTAAATTGATGGGGGTTTCAGGTACACATGGAAATATGTATTCTGGCATAATCAAAAAGGTGTCACTTTTGTAACTAATGATATTATTTTATGCAGTACCTCTTATAGTAAATTTTTTGCTGCAGCACCTCTGTATTGTTCATCACATTGAGGCTGCAGCACCTCTGTATTGTTCATCACATTGAGGCTGCAGCATCTCTATACTGTTCATCACATTTGGGCTGCAGCACCTCTGTACTGTTCATCACATTTGGGCTGCAGCACTTCTGTATTGTTCATTACATTTGGGTTGCAGCACCTCAGTATTGTTCATTACATTTGAACTGCAGCACCTCTTTCCTTGTCTGCTTCATTTTCTCAGCAAGACTTCTTTATTGTCTGCAACCATCACTCAGTAGCCCCTCCATCTTATTTGCTACAGCCACCCAGCAGCACATCTATATTGTTTGGCACATTCACCCCAGCACCTCTTTATTGTTTGGCACATTAACCCGGCAGCACTAATATTTTGTCTTGCACAGTCACTCAGCACCATTAAATTGTTTAGCATACTATACTTAATTAGTTGCACCTCCATTTTGTCTGATCCCTTTCATGAACTAAACATTATTCTTTCAATGAGTGCCAATTTTTTAGTTCACTTGCATAAAGTGCAGGAGAGTTTTCATCATCATTGATATTGACAAATGTTAATCTTTTTGTTTGATTTTAGTGAGTCATATTTTGGTTACCACTTAATCAATGCATTTTATGTTTGGGATGTAAAATATGTAACATTGCACACTACAGGGAATATTAATTGTCTCTTTGTAAACCCTTGTTAATTCTTTCTCTTTTTTTCTATCTTTGTGCTTGTGTTTTCCGTTGCATCTATATTGTTACTTTAATAAGGGAGACCTTGGGGATTATGTATACATTTGGTGGAGTACTATTCCCTTTTAAAAACTTCAAAATATACAGTACAGGTATACTCTAAAGTGTCAATTTATAATGCCAGAAGCCAAGTTTATTATGCACTGTACTTTGATAATCTCTGTATATACAGTACAGGTTTACAGTATACAGTGGTCCCTCGTTTAGCGAACACAATTCGTTCCAGAAGGTCATTCGTTAACCGAAAATTTCGTTAACCGAAACCATTGTTTCAATGGGATTTTGGGTAATTGGTTCCAGCTCACCGAAAATTACATGCAAACTAAAAATAAATGCAGTAAAGTACACTTACTTTGAAGTGTGCATGTAGAAGGCTCCTGGTTGATGATGATGTGAATTAGAATGGGGGTGGAGGAGAAGGGAGAAGAGAAGTCACCCCATGCCGCCATTTCACCCATAAAATTTTAGTTCACTTGGTGTAATTCAAGATTATTTTCTTTAAATAAACACTGCACTGCATTATATATTGTCAATATGTAAAATAAACTTCAGAATGACCAATAATTGTACTGTAAAAACGTTAAAATTCATGTTCAAGAGAGTCTCAAGCAAGAAGCTTCCTCCACTGAGCGGGGACACACACTGACGCCATTTTGGGTGTGTTGAGTTGCTGTTTGGCGTGCTAAAAACTAGTTCCCTGTACTTCAATTATGTTAAATAATTGTTAAAATGACTAAACACTTTAATATAAGACTTGGAAAATTATTGAATAGTACAACCTTCTTGATATTTACTCAAATGGTAACGAATTTAAGCCCTAAAACCGATTACTGTATTGGCGGACTAATACTACAGCTGGTGAGCAGGCGAAAACATGGTGGGAAAAATTTGTAAGGAATTCGTTAACCGAAATTTCGTTAGTCAAGGGATCACTGTATATATAATAAGACCTTAAGATTTATTTTGTTAAAAAAATTAATTATTTACAGCACAAAAATAAATTAAATTTATTTAATAATAACTGTCAAGATCATCCACTAACCATGCATACGTTACTGAAAGCAATTATTAAAAAAAAAAAAATCAGCAAGGGGATGGTGGTTCTAGTCTGCCATATTCTATTATATTTCTGCTATTTATTAAGATTAAAAGCCACAACTTAATAAACAGAAAGAAAAATAACTAAGGCTCCGTAAACTATAACAGCCACTTTTTTCTTCTTTTTACAAACCTGAGAAGTGGGAGTGAGTTGAGTGACCCGCCCATAGGTACTTGCTTGTTCTTTCTCTCCTTACTTTGGCTCAAGTTATGCCAATTTGCTCTTCAACAATTTGCTTTTCTCTGGTCTGTGCTTGTGCTTAGTGTATATATATATATATATATATATATATATATATATATATATATATATATATATATATATATATATATATATATATATATATATATATATATATATATATA